CTGCCTCAGCCTCCTGAGTAGCTGGGATTGTAGGCATAAGCCACCCCACCAGGCTAATTTTCGTACTTTTAGTAGGATGGGGTTTCACCACGTCGGCCAGTCTGGTCTCAAACTCCTGGCCTCAAGACATCCACCTGCCTTGGCCTCCCAAAGTGCTGGGATTACGGGCGTGAGCCACCAGGCCTGGCCTTGTTTTATTATTTAATTTTTTTGAGACAGAGTCTCACTCTGTCGCCCAGGCTGGAGTACAGTGGCACCATCTCAGCTCACTGCAACCTCTGCCTCCTGGGTTCAAGAGATTTTCCTGCCTCAGCCTCCTGAGTAGCTGGGACTACAGGGGCAAGCAAACATGCTCAGCTAATTTTTGTATTTTTAGTAGAGACAGGGTTTCATCATGTTGGCCAGGGTATTCTTGAACTTCTGTCCTCAATGACCTGCCTGCCTCACCCTCCCAAAGTGCTGGGATTAAAGGCATGAGCCACCGCACCCTACCAGAAAAGTGATATTTTAAAAGCAGCCAACCCTTCTTGTTCTTAATATTTAAACCCCCAATCATATCACATAGGTTCTTACCATTTTACAGATGCAGAAATTGAGGCACAGAAAAGCAACTGACCTAAAGTACACAGTTAATAGATGGAGCCATAATTCAGACGTAGGCAATGTGAGACCAGAGACCAATTTTAACCACTGTGTCTGACTGCCTCCTGCGTGACATACATTGTTAGGCTGAAGTGATGAGAGTAAAATGATGATCCTCACGCTATGGAAGAGAAGCAGAGCTAGCCCTAGCAGTGGTCATGTCTCCCCCAACTCCTCAAAGGTTCTCAGACCACCCGCTTTTAAATAAAATCACTTACCGGCTTCTAAATGCAATAGTAGACAAAATGTAAGGAGAACATTTCCTTTCTGCATCTTCATCTGTCTCTTTGTGGCTGGAAAGCAAGATGCCTGGGTCCTAGATGTGCCAAGACTTTAGAGGGCGAAGAACAGAGGATTCTTGAGAAAGGGGACTTGAAGGTGAAGAGATAAAGGCTGGTGCTTCCAGGAGCATATGTCTCCTACGTTTGTGTTCCTGGGAAGAATCTTGGGCTCAGGGGTGGGCAGCTGGATGCCTGACTTCCTTAGGCTTCCTCCAGGCAATGTAGTTGCCTCTTTCTCTGTTGTGAAAGAGCTACAGGGGCCTTTATAGCTTCATATGGTCTGGGGAGGGGTGGGGCAGTTGACCTGACAGTCTGTCAACTACAGGCAGGTGACAGAATGATACCAAGCCTGGGAAGGAATAGAGCGGGGGTCAAGAGGAAGGTGAGAAAGGAGAATGACATGGTCACACTAGGCAGGGTGCTGGGCTGGGTTGCAGCAGGAAGTAGAATGGGATAAGGAGATCATGGTTGTCAGAGTGGAAGGGACCCACCCTTTGAAGCAGGGATCGGGTTAGAAACCTGTTCCAGCTCAAGAATTTGTTTTCTGCTCAGGAAGTCCTGTAGACCTGCTTTAGCATGAAAGAAGCCCTAATGAGCTGAGCCAAGAGGGTAGGACCTCACATCTCTACAGCAGACAGTAATAGGGGACCCAAAAGAGACCAGTAACTAGGAATCTGGGCTCCTGGGTCATGGGCAGAAGACAAATAGAATGTTGCTGAGTATGCAGTAGGTACTCAACAATGCACATTGAAGGAACAGGGGAAGAGAGATCTAGAAGACATAATGAAGAGAGATAATGAAAACATGTTTGGGGTCTCTGGGGCATGGGAACTGAGGGTGTGGGAGAGTACTGAATATGTCTCCTGTCAGACTCATAGCAGGAGGAGGGTAGGGTCTCCTGCTGACTGTCAACCATAGGAGCTCCCCTCTGTTTTGTTTTTGTTTTCAGAGGACTCTATGGGAGCCTTTCCACCCTGAGATCCTTCTGATGTGCCTCTGCTTCAGTTTCAAGGAAGCATCTTTCAGGAGAGTACACCCCGCAGGGAGAGACACAGTGACATATCAGGACACAAGTCTGATGGGAGGAGGGAGATCAACGGTCCAAGTCCTGGAGGAGCCTTGAATTTTGTCTGGACACTTGGATATGGCCAGCAGAGAGGAAACAGCTAAATGAACGTGACTGAAGAGACCCAAATGAGCAGAGGGTTTGGGGAGGTCTGAGATGGCATCTGTGACCAGGCTGATGGGGTCCTAATATATAGTCTGTATTTTCTGTCTTAGTCCATTGGTGTTGCTATAAAGGAATCCCTGACTTTGGGTGACATAGAGAAAAGAGGTTTATTTGGCTCACGGTTCTGCAGGTTGTACGAGAAGCATGGCACCAACATCTGCGCTGGTGAGGGTTTCAAAAAACTTCCACTCATGGCCGAAGGAGAAAGGGAGCTGGTTTGCACAGATCATATAGCGAGAGAGAGGAAGCTGGAGAGAAGGAATGGAGGAGGTGACAGGATCTTTTCAACAACCAGTTCTTGTGGGAACTAAGAATGGGAACTCACTGCTTTGAGAATGGCACCGAGCTGTTCATGTGGGATCTGTTTCAACCACCCAAACTCCTCCCACCAGGCTCCACCTTCAACATTGGGGATCAAATTTCAACATGAAACTTGGCAGAGTCTAACAACCATATCCAAACTATAGCAATGACCAAAGTGAGTTGTCTGCATTTCCCCCATCAATGACGAGAAACTTCCTGGAAGACAGAGTCTCTCAGATAGTTTATTTGTAGGCGAACGAGCTTTCCTGACACGCAAGTTCTGTTAGAAGGAAGCTGGCAAACAGGAGGTGGCTGAAGACATGAAGGAGCTCTGAATGAGTGAGCTGGAGAATCAGAAAGGCTCAGCGGTGTGCTGGGAAAGACTCAGAAGTGAGTCTGCCTAGTGGCTGTGATGGGAAGTTCCACAGGCTCAGGTATGCGGGAATGCTCAGTGACAGGTTGGGTCCTGGACTCCCAGCGATCCTTCTGAAGTGCCAGTATTCTGCAGCTGAAAAGCCAATAGCACTCTAAGAATTTTCTTCCTCCAGAATTATTTAGAAACAGAGATCCTGGATTCAATCCAAATTTCACCTTTTAGAGGCTACTCTGAAAATTGTAGCACGCATACTTATCAGAGCCTAATGTAATTAATATCTTTACTCGATATCAGAACATTTTAATTCGTATTACCCATCTCACAAGTCATACCCTATATCATCAAGTATTTTAATTCCATCTTGTTTTTTAACTTCATGAAAGATTATTGTTGTCTGCTCGCACACCCTCATCCTGAACACAGTCACTCAGCTACATTCAGCTGCAAGAGAAACTGAGAGAGACTGTCTCCAGCTGGGTAGACGTATGCTCAGCTGACATTTGAGAGTTCTGTTGTTAAAGATGGAGAATGGGTGTTAGCAGACAATCACAAAGCCATGACATGATCCAGCAACCCCACTGCTGAGTAGGCACCCAAAAGAAAGGAAATCAGTGTATCAAAGAGATGTCCACACTCCAACGTTTGTTGCAGCACTAATTGCAATAGCTGAGATTTGGAAGTGTCTATTAATGGATGAATGAACAAAGAAAGCGTGGTACAGGCCGGGCGCAGTGGCTCACGCCTGTAATCCCAGCACTCTGGGAGGCAGAAGCGGTCAGATCATGATGTCAGGAGTTCGAGACCAGCCTGGCCAGCATGATGAAACCCCATCTCAACTAAAAATACAAAAATTAGCCAGGCATGGTGGCAGGCATCTATAATCCCAGCTACTCAGGAGGCTGAGGCAGGAGAATTGCTTGAACCTGGGAGGCGGAGCTTGCAGTGAGCCAAGATTGAGCCACTGCACTCCAACCTGGGTGACAGAGCAAGACTCCGTCTCAGGGAAAGAAAAAAAAAAGAAGAGAAAAGAAAACGTGGTAGGTATACATAGTGGAGCACCATTCAGCCGTAAAGAAAGAATGAGAGCCAGTCATTTGCAACAACATGGCTGGCCATGGAGATCATTATGTTAAGTGAAATAAGCCTGACACAGAAAGACAAACATTGCATGTTCTCATTTATTTGTGGGATCTAAAAATAAAAAACAATTGAGCTCATGGACCTAGAGACTAGAAGGATGGTTACCAGAGGCTGGGAAGGGTAGTGGGAGGACTGGGGGAGGTAGAGATGGTTAAAGGATGAATTAATTAAATGAATTAAATTAATTTAAAAAAACAAATGAATGAAAAAAAGAATGAAAAGACCTACTCTTTGATAGCACAACAGGGTAACTATAGTCAATAATAACTTAATTGTATATATTAAAATAACATAAAGAGTGTAATTGGATTTTTTTGTAACTCAAAGGATAAATGCTTGAGGGGTTGGCTACCCCATTCTCCACGATGTGCTGATTTCACACTGCATGACTGTAATCAAAACATTTCATGTGCCCCATAAACATAAACACCTACTAGGTACCACAAGCAGTAAAAATTTAAAAAATTAAAAATAAAGCCATGAAACACGTTTAAACCTACTTACCTTATATTCTGCATTTAATAATTTCAATACCTAAAGTCCTTGAGGATCTGATACTGCTGTCTAGTTTTTTGGTTTTGTTTTCTTCCTTCCTGGTTTTCACTCATGGTGTCTGTTTTCACTTATGATTTGAGAATCATGACTATAAATTTATTTTTCTTGGAATGTTATCTGTCGAGGTCAAGGCTGCAGTGGCACTGGCGTAGCTCACTGCAGCCTCGACCTCCGGGGCTCAGGCAATCCTACGGCTCTCGGCCTCCCCAAATTCTGGAATTACAGATTAAGGTATGATCTTTCACAGAGAATTTGCATGTTTTTTCCAAGCATATGGAGACATTACCATTTGAGGATTATTTTATTATTATATTTTTAATTAAAAATTTTTATTAACATATTGTTACTGTATATACTTATGGGGTACAATTTAATGTTTTGATACATACATATGCTGTATAATTTCAGGATTATTTTAAATTAAAATATAAGATTGCGGTCTTTTGAATTACCTAGACTGCATGATTTGTGGCTATAAACCATGTAAGTAAGGTATTGTTGGTTGTTGTGGTTACAATTTATTTCTCAAGGGATACTCCCCCTACCCTCCTCTGCACCAAATTTAGAGACAGGCAATTTTGCTTGCATTTCCTTAGAGGAGGGACAGGTTTATTTTTAGTTTACATTCTCACTGAAAGTTACAGATTTACGTGATTCCTCCCCTCCCCAGACCTTGGGCTGATCCAACTGAAGCTGTAATGCCCGAAGCTTAAGTTCTTTGGGTTTGGCAAAAGTTGGCTTCAGTACTTCCCTTACCTCCTGGGTCCTATTCAGTCTGTAATTTTAGCATTCCATACTTTCATGCCAATTCACTGACTCTTTCAAGGAGATTTTGAAGTCCATAACTTAGCTTTGCAGTGTATTTTCAGTCAGGGCATATAGTCCATTATATAGCCAGAAGTTTAAGTTGTCATTGGATTGTTTTGAGAAATAAATGGTGATGTATTTACAGGCACTAGCATAGTGTTTAGCATTTAATAAGCATGCAATAATAAAAGACAAAGGGAAAATAAAAAAGACAGACACAAATACATAAATACATAGATGCCAAGTGTATTTTGAGATTTTAATTTGTAGCACTGTCCCAGTAAATTTCTTCTAACTTATCATATAGCATTTGAAAGAGGCAAAGAAGTAGGGAGGGAGACTCTTCCCAAAGATGAAGAACTGGAGGGCACTGAGTGAGTCTAAGAGGGTTTTCTGAGCTACTCAGTTTGTACAGTTTGAAGTTACAAATCCAAATGAAGAAAGTCATGTAATTACAAATTCTAAGGGGACATCTTTTACCCCCTCCATTGTTACAAACTGTGATAATCTTATTCTTCCTCCTACTGGTCAGGTTCCATCCTGAGGAAACGATAGAAAGCCAAAACCTAAAGAGTTCTGACTTGTGTGTTGAGAGATCAAAGAGAAATTGTTCTGAGCTTGATCATTCTGACCCCTCCTCCCAACAAGAGTTGGAACCATGGTTAAGCTTGGGGGGATATTTTCACCTGAGCTCACACTCAGATCTGATGAGGCTGCAAGTCTCCTCCAGAACCACTCCCTATTTTTCTGGCTGTCCCATTGGCCGAACCCTCTGTGCTCTTTTCTCTGGTTCTTTTCTTGATCTTGATCATGACCATCTC